CCCCCACCAAAGTCACCTTTTGGGGTGTCCATGGTCCTGCCCTGCTGTTCCGGCTGCCCCTCCCCTGAGGGGGTCAAGAGTGTGGGTGTCCCACTCGGGTGGGATCCCCACCACCGTTTCCCCTCGCTGGCAGCACGGTGCCGGCTGCCCACCCGTCCCGTGGGCTCATGAGACATCGCGGGAGCCCCAAAGGACAGAAGAGCACGTCCTCGTTGTGCTGAATCGCCCTTCCGAAAAAAAAAAAAACCAAACCAGCCGTTTAAAGGGAAGCGTGACCGTTTTCCCCGAAACGCGGGTCACGGCAGCACGGAGGAGTTAATAAGGTCTTTGGTCTCTTGTGCTGTGTGGCTCCTTCTGCACCGAGGAGGTCACTTTGCCTTTGCATGGCTGTCTAGTCTCATTGTCTACGCGTCCCAGGGACGAGGCAGGTCCCCGGGGGTCAGAAATGCTGCTCCAGGCTGTCCTGCAGGACTGGAGCCACTGAGCACCAGTGGTAGTCAGCACTTTGCCGTTTGTTTGCTCCCTGCGTTAATCTGCAGGTTCAGGAAATGGTTTTTCAAGTGCATATTGGCCTTTCCAAATGATTTTTCCCTGGGGTGTGTCTCGAGAGCTCCCTGCTGGTGCTGCCGACTTCTCCGATGTGGCCGGAGGTAAAACAGGAGCGTGACGCTGCTGGCACTTCCATTGCAGCCCCGTGCACTGGATAGGGTGCTGGCACAAGGCAGACTGGGAGTTAGGGTGAGTTTAGAGGCCGCTCGGAAGGGATTTCCGAGCGTGGTCTGAGGTGCGGATGTGTGTAGTCGTAGACGTCGGAGCGTGCTGGAGGCAGCTGCTCCTGCGCCACGGCTGGTCTTTGCTGGGTTCATCTCTGGGTCTTCTGTTCCCCAGGGGTTTCCAGCCCCTGGGGGCAGTGCTGGGCACATGGGTGTCAGCGGGTCCCCGTTACCTCCGTGGCAATAGTCCCCGAGCTCCAGGGGCTGCATGACTGGGTGAAACCAGCTGTACTGGGGCTCACAGTCTGGTTCCTGTGGGCCAGAAGTTGATCTCCAAGCTGGTCTGCAAGAAAATCCTCCTTAAATCCCTGCGTCCAGCCCCTGTGTGCACTGGAGCCGAGCACTTTTGGTGGAAAGGTGCAATCGAACCCTGGTGCTGCTCTGCAGCGATGCTGGTGCGGGGAATATCTTGGCTTCCCTGCACAGTGTTTGTACCCAGACTGGAAAAAGCCTGCATGCCAGGCTGAGGCTTTTCCTGCTTCATGTGCATCTTGAGCTGCATCCTGAGTTTGATGTCAGGGGTGTTTTGCTGCAAGAATAGGTCTGAGTGGGGTCGTGGACTGGAGCAGGAATACACCAGGGCTGCGCAGGCTCCATCTTTTTGCTGGGAATGGGCGGGGAGGAAAAAGGCTCCGCAGGGTCAAACAGGGCCCTGTGGATGGTGTCCCAAGGTCTTGCTTGAGGGGTTCTGGGTGCTGGCAGGTCCCTGCAATGGGGAAGCCTCCCCCACAGATCAGCCTGACCAGCCTCACCCCCGCGAGTTTGCCTGGTGAGGTCTCCAGATACGGAGGAAATAGGAGCCACGGCCGGTGATCCTGGGACTTCAAAGGCTGCCTTGTTCCCCGCTCCTCGCTGAGGTTGAGGTGCTGCCTCGACGTCGGCTCCC